GTAGTGTCATTTATCACCTGATTATTTTTATCAGAGATTTATCCCTTTCTCCCTCTTAATATAAAAAAAAATTAGATTCTTATATATAATTTTAACTTTTTTTACCCTCCCCCCCTACAAAATCATCTAATTTTTGTCATATCCCTTAATATGTAAGTTGAAAAACATCATCACAACAAAGTTTATATATAATTCTATATATTTTTTACTATAATTTTATATATAAAAAATTTACTATATATATATAAAATCATGTGCTGATATAAAGAAACATTATAAAATGTATTATAAACCTTCTAGAGATTTGAATTGTTTTAAAGAGATAATTTTTCCTAAATATAAAGAAATCGTATGGAGTCAAAAATCTTTGGTAGCGGAAGATATCATACCACCACCATTTGTGCTCTCAAAATATCCATCACTTGGTAAACCAGATGTTTTTACAGTAGTTAAATATCTACGCTTTTTGCATGATGTTTTATTGAATGATGAGATGTGGAAAAACGACTGGGGAGACACGTTTAAACATAATGTTTATGAAGTTTACAAGTGGCTTGACGAAGAATGTTCAAATGAAGATCTCAATTTAAGCCAATATATTGCACAAAACGAACCATTGTTCCTTAATTTTCATAAAAATTCAAATCCATTTGATCCCGAAAACTGGTGTTCAGCAAGTGATTTAGTCTTGAACAGTGAGCCAGGAGAAAGGAAGTATGTCAGTCCAACGCTTTCCAAATTTTCTAATATGCTCAAATGTGCAAATGTCCGAGAAATAAAACCACCGAATGTAGAGATACATGTTAGATTACATGATCAATTTAATTTTACCAATACAATGTTTGAATTTCTGTTGAATCAAGATCAGGCAACTTTCTTACATGATGTAGTTTTCAATGTGAATGGAGAAATTATAAGAACAAATCGATATATGCTTGCAGCAAGCTCAAACTTTTTCCGTGAAAAATTCACGTCGAGAGATTTTGCGGTATCAAGTCCGGTCAATCCAGTTACGATTGTGATTGAAGATGTCAATCCAAACTCGGTACGCATCTTGCTACGTTATCTATATGGCCAGAGTATCGAATATGCGGTTCAAAGTTTAAATGGGATCGAGATAAACCCATCTTTGGAAATGATAATATATGAAGATTTGTTAAAGTTGGCAAATTCTTATGAATTAGACCATTTGAAAGATCTTATGGAGTTGAAACTCTCACGACTAGTTTCGATGTCAAACGTGGGTTTTATGAGACAATTGGCGATAAATTTGAATGCTAATCAACTTGAAAAATATTGTCAA